AAGAGCCAAAGTCCCATGACGCCTTCCGAGTCATGCGCAGCTGTCCAACCTTCAGTGGCTCGGGCTTGTAGTTGCCTTTGGAGGCTATTGGAGCAGAGGAGGACGACAAGCTCCCAGAGCGTCGAAGATGGCAGATGGAGCGGGGATGTGAATGAATGTTGTTATGTATGGAAGTGAGTATGCACGCATTCACACAGGTAGGTAGGTAGGTACGCATACATATTTGCATTCCTGGTTAGCTATGAATATGCGATGGTTCTGTGTATCTACGACTCAACTTGTGCAGGTGTCTGCCAGCAAATACATGTTTTGAATATGTGCACACATAATCTGTCTGCAGATCTGGCCCGAAATCGAAGCTCTTGGGGATCGGTTGTTTCAAGTTGCCGCCGCGCAGGTTCTAACGCTAGTGTTAAGGCGCGAGGCTGTTCATGCTCCAGCTGGTGCTGAATACCACAGCCCCCTAGTAGTAGAGTAGGAAACCTTTAATCTTTTTTGGGTATTATAGTCCCTATATAATCCCTATATAACGAAAAAGGTTAACCTTTAGTTCCCCATGATACCCGACAAGTAGGTCACCCTTGCCCACGGGTGCATTGAGTGGTGGAGGACCAAGTGCTGAGCCATCCGGCCATGCTCAACCTCCGCACAAAGCATGCGGAGCATGACGCTCGGCAAGCACCATCAATCTTTTGATGTCGTGGGCTCTGAATCTGTTGGAAGTGGACGCTCAGAGAAATTGGGGGCTGCCTGCAGCCCTTAACAGCGTGATCGAAACAGATTCTTGCATGTTCGTAGGTTTGCTTACGAGTGTCAGAATGAAAGCGCGTCTGAAGTTTGAGTGATTCAGTGTATGCATGTATACTTACATACATGCAGGTTAGTAGAAGCGGCTTCGTTGTGCCAAGTGACTTCCGTTCTTGGAGGATGAGGGGGGGTCGGTATGCAAGTCGAACATTTACGGAGTACTGTTGTTCCACATTGTGTGAACGTCGCTGCAAAGCAGTCCTGAGATTCATGATGCAACCAAACAAGCACGAACCCGCATGCTTACCCCGTGGCTTCCTATCGGCTCACCCATGCTTTCTCTAGCTGCACACAAACAAACCACCGCATGCGTATACGTGTGCACACATACAAGTGCGCACATGGACACTCATCTTTACGATGCGGAACTATGCCAGGCATATCTTGCACAAGGAGAAAGAGACAGAGAGAGAGAAAGAGAGAGAGAGAGAGAGAGAGAGCAGTCCTCCCCAAGCCCCTAGCAAAGCAAAGAGAGAGAGAGAGAGAGAGCGAGAGAGAAGCCCATACACCATAGCCCTGGCGAAAGAAAGCGAGAGAGAGAGAGAGAGAGAGAGCAAGAGAGAGAGCGAGACAGAGAGAGAGAGAGAGAGAGAGAGCGAGCGAGCGAGAGAGTGAGAGTGAGGGGTCGGGGGAGTCTACGGCGTCCATACCTGTAGAGGAAGAAGCCTGCGGGAGAAGTGCTGCGGAAAGTAAGGGAGTGTGAGAGTAGCGAGGCGCAGAGCGAAAGAACAGAGAAGCTAAGATCGAGAGATTGAGAGAGACAGAAGACATGCGGGAGCGAGTCCCAAGTCTCGGAGATCAGGAGACCGCCTTTGCGGTAATCCTCTGGGAGACAATTCGGCCTGGGCCCTGGCGGGCATCGCGGGCGGAGAAGGGTCTTGCAGAACTCTGAAACTCCGTACGCCCACAGTCCACTCGGCAAGTTTTCGTTGAGGCTTGATAGTGTTTCCACGGCTTCTCTGGAGAACGGCATCGGTTTTCTCATGTTCAGATAGGTGGCTTCCTCATGCGTAGATGAACGGAAGAGTAGGGGCGTTCCCATGACTATAGCTTCCAAGAAGATAGGGGCTGTGGATTGGGGACCTCCACTAGTGATGACGACGTCTCCAGAGGTTCAACTAAGTCACGAGGTCTCGAAGCGTATTGAGAGGGCACTGCGGTGCGGAAGGTGGCAGAACGGTTCTGCGTGACAGCTTGAAGGATTTAGTGTTCAAAAGTTTCATCTGCTAGTCAAAGGGGCCAGCTGTGCAGTTCGTACATGTGATAGGCGAGCAACATGCACTGTCACAACTGTTCGACCATTTCGACCTCACGTCTTGTGCGAGCACGGGAGATGTGCCGATCCACTTGATTGCTCGGCTTCCCTGAAACGCAAGTGAAGCATTTGCAGAGGTCGGTGATGTTGAGGGCGGAGGTCGCTGAACTCTCTCGTCCCTTCTTTTGCAATCTTCTCCCGAGCTAACATCTTCCATCCTCTTCCATTTCCATGGCAAATATATTCCCTGTCACCTGCATACCCTGAGCGGTGGATCAGAGCACGGCAACACTTCTCCGACGTCGCCCTTATCAAAGCCCTCAGCCTACCCTGTCGAGGTACATTCTCAGGCGGCCGCACTTGACAGTGTCACGTAGTCGGAAGCTCGGTCAATAGGAGCTGCTGCGGTTGCTCCGACGACTACTACTTCTACTGCTACTGCTACTGCGACTGCGACTGCGACTGCGACTGCTACTACTACCACTACCACTACCACTACCACTACCACTACGACTACTACTACTACTACTACTACTACTACTACTACTACTACTACTACTACTACTACTACTACTACTACTGCTACTGCTACTGCTACTGCTACTACTACTACTACTACTACTACTACTGCTACTACTGCTACTGCTACTGCTACTGCTACTACTGCTACTACGGCTACTACTGCTACTGCTACTGCTACTGCTACTGCTACTGCTGCTACTGCTACTGCTACTGCTACTGCTACTGCTACTGCTACTGCTACTGCTACTGCTACTGCTACTGCTACTGCTACTGCTACTGCTGCTGCTCCTGCTCCTGCTCCTGCTCCTGCTACCACCACCACCACCACCACCTGCTGCTGCTGCGGCTCCTGCTGCAGCTGCTGCTGCGATGACGATGCCGACAAGGACTCCGACGACGCCTCTGACCTGCCGCTTCTCCTTCACAACAGATGCGACGACGATGTCATTGCTACGATAGCATCTCGAGATTGTGGGGTCGAGCGTATCTCGGTTTAGGTTCAGGAAGTGGTTCAGGAGGTTGTGGCATGCCGCAAGATATCAGCTCGCTCCCCAAGGTGCCAAAGAGCTGGAGCATCCGGTGGTACAGGCTCGAGACGTGTCAGCTCGAAGCAATAAAACCTCATTCTGGAGATTTCTAGAGCCAGAGCACGGCAAATCACAGCGTTATCATGGCAGTAAACGACATCTTCCCAACATCCTTCCTAGGAGTCGTGTGCAGCAGTGACAAAACAGTAAAAGTGTTTCTTGCACTTCTTCTATTTCTGCGACTGTGACTGCCAGAGAATATGCACACACGTGCTGTGGTTTCAATCACGATGATGGCATGACGGTGGTGCTGAGTTGAGCACCATGTGGAGGACAACATGTCAACGACACCAGTGATGTTGATGGTGATGAGTCTGATTTCGATGATGGTATATGCAGGCGAGAGCTCTGATGGAAGCATGTAGATAGTGATGATAATGGTGATGGTGGTGATGATGATAATGACGATGATGATGATGATGACGGTGCTGATGATGATGGTGGAGATGACGATGCTGATGATGGTGATGATTTTTGTTGCTGATGATGAAGGTGCTGATGACGATGCGATGCCGGCGATATCGCCACAGGTAGTCTTGATTATGGGGAGGAAACTGAGGATGATCATACAGAACCCTGTAACAGTAAAGGACGGTGCTCAAGATTTCGGAGACATAGGAGCATGCTGATGATAGTAGCGGTGAAAGCTGGTGATGATGATGGCGACTGTGCCGGCTAGACTCGGATAGAACGGTGCTGATGTGGCTGCTAGTTTATTGATGACGATGCAGGCCCTGCTTTCTGCGAACCTCCTCGTTCCTCGCTGGTCGCCCATGCGCCTCATCGTACCTGATGACGAAACACGGCAATTCCTGCAGGCAGCAGGGCTGCGGAGCAGGGTTGGTGGTTCCAGGTGTTTTGGCATTGCTCCTTAGCTCCTTCCCTTCATTGACAAGGCTTAGTGACTTAGCGTACAGAGCAAGCCCTCCTTTCTCCGTCCTGGGGGAGGGCCACGACTGCGTGCTCCCCAGGCGGATTTGCGAAGGATCGCTTTCTTCCTTCTGTTCAGCCTGCGCATGAGACATATGAATATTACATATAGGGCGCTGAACAATTTCTAGTGACAGTAGTTTCCCTCGCAATGATGATGTCGTATACCTATATTGATGGAACCCTGCTCTGGTTTTTGCAGGAGTGGATCAACCACCAGCACGCCAAGCTGTCCTGGCCAAGCAGAGCCGAGTACAACATTCAGGCGGCCGTTCAGTACATTCAATTTTGGGAGTTTCCGAGAATAGGGGACCCTAAAATGGTACCCGAAATAATAGGATCCTTATCATAAGGACCCCAAAAACTCAAAATAAGGTAACCCTAATCCAAATTTTCGGAAAGTCCCATTTTGTGTGCGGTCATCTCTGACAGCTCTCAGAAACGTGGATCTTTCGCGAACACATGCAATCCCATACAGGCAGCATCAAGATAGACCGGCAAGTTTATGCTTCACACTCCGCGAGTGAATCTCACGAGCATGTGTTTGTTGCTTGGCGGCAGAGGCTTGGCGAGAGCGCGGCAGCATTCTGCACAAGCTCGATGGTTTGTCGAAAAATGGATGTCTGCATCGTTCTGCATCCTGGTGCTGGAAGACCATCCGCATCAGGTTAGCTTCGTTGCTCCTGTACATGCGTAACTCCAAGTTGCTCTTGCGCGGTTCAAGCGTACCCGAATTGTGGCTAGTAGCACAGCAATGCTGCTGAGTGGACTGCACATGTCGAGGACGACGTAGTGGTTGCCACTGTGCTTGCAGGCCAAGTAACATAGGTCCGAAAGTGCGAGCATAACTTCCAAGCAATTGACCTAACTTCTCTGCAATGCTGGTTGCGGGCTGGTGCATGCATGGTCCGGTGGCTGTGAAGGCTTGTGGATCCCAGTCCCAGGCTCCTCGAGATCTGCGAGAAGCTGCCCCAAGTGCCCGAGCGGCCCCGGCAGCTTGGCGACTCCCAGCTCCCGTCGCCGTGTCAGTGTCCGCCTTGGCGGCCTCGGCAGTGGCGGCGCGACGAAGGGAGCGGAGAGTGGGCCGCCGTGCCCGCCCAGCTCGCGGCGAGGCCGAGCTGAGCTCGGGCCTGGGATCTTTGGAGGGCGCCAAGGCCCTGGTGACCGGGGGCTCCCGTGGCATCGGCCTGGCCACCGCTCAGCTGCTGCTCTCGCTGGGTGCGGAGGTCACCATCTGCGCTCGGGGAGAGGAGGATCTCACGGCTGCAGAGAAGCAGATGCCCCAAACGTTCCAAACCTGCCGGGCTGTGCCCGCAGATCTCTCGACGAAAGCTGGCGTTGAAGCACTGGTAGACCAACTGGGCCCGGAGCTGGATATCCTAGTAAACAACTGCGGGATCAACATCCGCAAGAGGGCGGAAGACTATACGGAGGAGGACTTCGAGCAGATCTTCAACACAAACTTCATGAGCTGTATGAGGCTCTCCAGAGCAGCACTGCCGCTGCTGCGAAAGGCGACTGGTTCTTGTAGACCCTCAAACACTGCTTAGATTTGTTGATGTCGTGATTGCCAGTTCCGTAACCTCTTACATTCAGAAGACCCTCAAGCTTGACAAGCTTGCCCTAAACCCTAAACCTGAGATCCACTTGGGAAGGCCAGCGATTCGAGCGGCAGAGCAGGTGGCGCGGCAATAGTGAATCTCACCTGTGAGTGACTGATTCGCCCAAACCCAAACCTGTCAAAACCCCTAGGAGAAGGTCACAGGGCACTCGATGTTCTCAGTAAGGAGCACGTTGAGTAATCGTTATTGGTTCGGACTCGTCGCGAGCTACTGGCCACCGCCGGCGTCGTCTAGAATCAAATCCTCAACCTCTCAATGCCCCAATCACTCATCGGTTTCAGAACAAGAAACCCTAATAACCGAGATTCATCGTTCCCAGCTGCTACGTTCGGGGCCATACAGGCTCAGCTCTGGGACCCAGATGTTCACCCAAAGGTTAGGATCATGATTGGCACCCGTAGATTAGAAGATCGCTCCAACTTCAGCAGAAAGAGAGCTGAGTGTTTGGAGACATAAGACAGAGGTTCAACACCCACGTCCGTCAACCTGGATCTTGTGTCCCTGAGCTCAGGAACGTCTCTTCGGTTGCTGGAACTGGCCATATCCCTTCAGGACCCTTAGCCAGCACTGCTAATTTGTTGCCTTGACCGCCATTGTCACCGTGACACTGCGAAGCGGGTTGCCACCATCTGCAGTCGTGATTTTTGTCACAGTCTTCTGCTGTCACCAGAGCTTTGCTGTCGTTGACCTACTGTAGGGTCCTAAATAACAACTACCAAAACTGTTTTGGGGGTTCCTTCTTCTAGAGTATACTGGGCCCCAAGACCCTATTCTAATTGTTAAAGAGGGCCCTATATTAACTATCCTGACCACAAGCCTTTCACCTGTTTCATCATGGCCCCACGGGTGATGATGAGGATGGTGCCGATGGAGGTGCTTTCGGCCGATACTCATGACGTCTAAATGCAAGAAGATGGCAGGGTCGCTAACGAGGACGAAGAGGATGATGGTGATGATGATGATGATGAACGAAGAAGATCAAAATGTCAACGCTGATGGTAACGGCGATGCTTCTGGTCTGGGAGTTTGCGCTTGTTCGTTGCCCATTCCAGTACCAAGGATTTATTCCTGTCCTTGTGTTGTGTTCTCGATGTCCATCTTGTTGTTCTTGTCGAAGACTCGTTTTGAATCAATAAGTATTCCTGGCAATCGGGACCCATGCTCTAGCGAAACCGTATGCCCAAGCACTTTGAGACCCCCACTCAGATCTCTAACCCGCCTAGGCTCCACCTTTAAACCCTCCTGGCACAGGAATGTCCTTCTACTGGCACTAGCAGTCACTAGCAGTTGGAAAAGAGCCTCAGGCTTTCCGTACGCAGCATCCAAAGCCGCCTCTTGCCCGCTCTTGGAAGTCTTTCTAGCATTCGATTCCGGGATTTTGGACTCTACGTGGGCTTCGTACACCATGGAACTATGTTTCGGGCCTTATCGTTTACTTTAAGGTTAAGGCGCAGAGATTTTGTCCAAAGCTGTAGGCGCAGAGATCTTGTCCAAAGCTGTTTAGCCATCACTGTTTTATACAGGTCGGAATGCGTACCAATTGCAATATCCGCCTTAAACCAGACTAGGACACACCCCGAGTATCGAATGCTTGTTCCCTTGACACTTGTACCGCTTGCTCGATACAGATCGCGACCTGCAATGTCCAGTCGCCAAGCCTTCTTTCTGCCCGAGGCGATGAATCAGATGACCCGGAATCTCGGCTATCGTTGCGATGTTGACTTGTGCCGATCCTTCAAGCCAGCCCACTGACAGAAGGGAATTGAGTGTATGGAACAGGGTTTAGGAGCTTTGGGCTTATGACGAGGGATCTGATGCTGCTGCGAGGAACTTGGCTGTGGAGTGGGCGCGCTTTGGAATCCGCGTGAATGCAGTGGCTCCGGGGGCCATAGCCACACCCCTCGTGGCGAAGGCAGTGTGCCGTTCAGTGCGAATGAGAAGACTGTTGTCAAGCCAATGCTCAATGCTTTGAAGGCCAATCCCATTTACATTGACGACTTCCGACAGCGCAAACCTCTCGGACGCTTGGGCGACGTGATGGAGGCGTCACCGGATCTTATGTTGGCGGGCGGGGGAAAACGGGTTCAGGGCGCAGCATCCGAAAAATTTCGAAGCTTGCATAGCCAAGTTCCATGGATCTGAAGATTTTTTCCAAGCTCAAAACTCCAATCTCCTCTGCCTGTCTTCGTGCGCTAGTTTCAAGCGTGGTGTGAGCAGGAGAAGCTTCACGTGGCCCTTCTTGCTAGCAAGAGTTCGTCGCGGGGTTTTCTGCAATCATGTTAGACAATGGTAGAGAAGAAGAAGAGAAGATGATGATGCGAATGATGGCGTTGACGATGATGACGATGATGACGATGATGACGATGACGATGGTGACGATGATGAGGAGAGTGATGATGATGATGATGAAGTTGACGAGGATGCTACTGTTGCCATGTGTTTCTGTGCTGGTGGAAGTGGTCGTGGGTGTGGTGGTGGTGCTGCTGCTGCAGCTGCTGCCAGCTGCTGCTCACTCGTTTGATTCCGAGATCCTCTCAGTGAGCATGAAAATCATCCTTACGGACATCTTGAGTAGTGGCACCATCATCCTCATCGCGAGCTACGTCGTCAAAGTCTGTGTCGCCACCATTGTCGCGGTCATCATCGAAGTAGAGAATATACATAGACTCTTCGTTCAGGCCTCACGCGATGCCCTGAATGATGCTTGCCTGCGGTGACCAGTGGCGGCCCATGTCGCAGCTTTAATTATTGATTAAAGTTTGATGGGCTCATCTATGACTGCATCGCAAACGACAGGTTCTGTGCATGACATGCTAGCCTACAGCTTCTAGGCGGTAGTTCACCCCCCACATTCACCTCATCGATACCAACAGCAAAAGCAACGACCACGAAACACAACAAAACCACTACAGCTGCTGCCAAGACAGGTTCTGGTCCTGGTCGTCGTCGATGTCGTCGGTGTCCGACAGTCGTTGTCAGCCTTTGTAGTCAGTAATCTTCCAGTTACCATGTGGATCACTTTCAGTAATTCTTGTTGGTTTCAGAACTAAGACCCCCAAGTTCAGGTGGCACGGCCCATCGCGTTCTTGGCCAGTGATGCGGCGGCCTTCATCACGGGGCAGACGCTGCTGGGCTCTCCATTGACTTTGCGCTGTTTTGTTCTTTGAAGGGTTGTGTTATTGGAATCGTATCCGGATTTTCACCCCAAGCCCCGAGACCCTTAAACCCTAAGACCTAAATCAGAAGTGATATGCTCTATGAACACGGCGTTGTGGCTTGCCGAATCGTGAGCTTCTCTCAGCGCTTCTCTTTGAGTGCACAACATCCTTGGCCCCATGTCGGAAGCTCAGGATGTGTATTCCATTAAGCTGCTTATGCTGTTACCCAGAGACTCCAATATCCCTTAAGTAAGGAATCTACCTTAAATCATATTAGGGATCCTACTATAATTTAAGGTATATTCCTTAATTAAGGGATATTGGAGTCTCCGGGTACTCAAGAAAGATGAAACGTGGTGACAATGTAGCGAATTTTGCGATAGATTTGTGCATCTGCAAGCGAACATAGCAGGCCCAGAGACGAAACTCAGAGCTGCAACAACGAAGAGAGTAGTATCGGTTAGAAGGGGCCCCCACCCTGTAATAGTGGTATAACAGGAATATAATAGGGCCCTAATATAATCCTATATAATCCTTATAGTCACTATTACAGGGTGGGGGCAGCTTCTAAAGTATCGGGCAAGAAGACCATGTGGAAGGCTGATGACTCCAGGTGTTTCCGAAAGGGTTCGTAATCTCTGCATGGTATTCCCGGATTTCCTGTATGGATCAACGCCTGCAGGCTGCATGTGGACGGCGGCTTCACAGCCACCAGCTTCAACGAAGTTCCGGACTACTGGGACGACTGAGCATCGTCTAGAGTCCGGCTCCGCGGTTTGATAGATGTCGCGCCGAACCGACTCAAGCAACCCCGGTAAAAATCCGCTGCATCCCCTAGCTCGTTTCGACCTTGTCCCGAAACCCGGCTTGGGATTTGGGACGTTGGGTTTCGCGGTGGCCCGAACAGTTGCCACTCTGCGCTCTCTTCCGAGATTCTCGTGGAACCTTTGAATCGCTAAAGAGACTGCCAAGAGCAATTCTGCCAGACTCCGCAACGACAATTTTGGAAGGTAGGACAGGTAGGCTTGTTCGGGATCGACGTTTGCCCCAATGTGCATGAATGTGTATTATAAGATCATCTCGCTTAGTCAAGGGCAGTCTGAAGTATTTTGGCGGCGCGGAGGGGTGGGAATAATGTGTCACAGTAACTCTGTGATATCGCCCCCGTAGAATTGGAGTATGATATACCAACAGTATTTTGGCGGCAGTGCTCTGCAGGGTTTTTGACGCAAAGCGAGCAGCGCGCCGCTTCTGGCTCAACAAAATGGGGGTAGCACGGGCTGCAAGAGACCTGGCCGTTTGCCAGCAGCCCATGTAGCGAGCCTTTGTCCGAAGCGGTGAGTGAAGAGAGCGGGAAGGCTAAGTGGTGGCCTTGGGCAAACTACTGCCCCAACAAGCCGAATCCCTGCAGCCCATCCCTGTCGGCTCCCTGAACCCTAAACCGTTGAGGACCATTGAATACTCCGCCCACCGCCAACCAGCTGCGCGCTCCTAGCACGCGCACTCAGAGTGACAGAAGCCATCAGCAAAACGCTGCTTTGGCCCGTCTCACTTCCTTGGCTCAGGCCGGGTGGGGTTCCAAGCTCAGAGTGTTTCGGACTTCTAGCATAGAATTCTAGATTCTTGTATTATGTCATCGTATGTTATAACTAGACGATCGTACATTCTAGTATGTTATTACTGCTAGGGCTCTCAATTCCGAACACCTCGAACATGCGTCTGATGCCAGGTAGCCGCTGGGTTCATGGCTCCGAGCAAGCCGCCCGATACCCAGATGTCAAGGATGCTGCGCGGATGCGTAAGGTATAAGGAGTATAAGGAGTTCCCGTAGGATGTGTAGAGGGACGAGGAAAAGATGCCCAAGTCTTTTTTCATCTTGTGGAGTTTCACACTCCACCGTCTGCCTGATGTGTTCCAAAATTTGGAGCCTATGTCTTAACGTGGCCAAAGCCTGCCGGGAGTTCCGGAAGAGCCCGGGTCACCATGGCTGAGGGATGTTCCCGGAAATCCTCTACACCTGCCCTCCATGGCCTGTAGCCTAGACCCTGGTGGCTCGAACATCTTCTGTTCCCTCAAACTCAGAGTTGTGGCGTCGGCTTCGTCAGGTGCCGATTGCCTGGTTCAATCCCCCAGAATCGCAACAACCCGGAGAACCCCGGCGCACCCCACCTCCCTGGAAGAGCCCAGGTCCAAGGGGAGCAAGGACCGGGCACGTGGGTGTTGATGGCCTTAGGGTTAAGGGTTTAGGGGCCTTAACTGCCATGCTGGTATGAATGTGAAAACGATATGTGTGTGTGTGGGTGGGTAAGCATGCACATATAGATATGCATACTTTCTAGGTTCGTGTGCGTATGTGCAGTCAACCTGTTCGCTATTCTGCACCCGACTTCTTGATGTTGGAAATTCAGATGTGTATGTATGCAGCTTGAATTCGTGCACGCAGGTATATAAAAGGCATGCTCTTCCATGGAAGCTGTTTTACGTAGTTGCGTGGTCATAACAGGCTTGGCACGACTGCAACAGCAACCACTGCCAACAATCGCAGCACAAGAAACAGGGAGCATTCTCATCACGCGTAATTGCAACCCCAACCATCATACTGGTAACCAGCATGGAAAAGGCCATGACCACTATCATGATGATGGGTCATGGCCACGGCTGTGTTCGCCGCAGCAGCCAGAGTGTTCTAACCACGTGAAAAAAAGACAACGCAAGCATGAGCAGCGAAAATGACACATGCAACCATGCTACTCCCAGCCGGGATGATCACCACCTCCCCTGTGTCCCGGGGTTCCTTAATCTACAAAGCCTAAAGTTCTAAAGCTTCACCCCTCCGCTTTTTTTGGAGGAGACGCCCAAGGAGACAGACAAGGCTGGGGACTCCGACAGTCGCTCAGGGGCCTAGGACTTTGTGGATCTGTGGTTGTAGCTTTTTCGGGTTTTGGGGGGACACTGCTTGGCAGATGCAGCAACAAAGCATCCCAGCAGACCACGACATGAAGAGTGCTGTTGGATCCTCCCCTCCCTCCTCGGGCAGCTCTGGTGCAACGTCCTCCAGTAGCAGCCGAAATCTGTGCTACGTGTAATTGTAGTACTGCTTTCGCACAGCCGCAATACACCTCCGGAGCCTTGCTCCCATGCCCGTGGTGAAAGTCGTGAGACTTGAAAAGAACTATTGCCGCCAGGGCAGCCAGAAGCGAAGCGCGAGCCGGGCACTAAGAGTTGGAGAGTGTGGAGCGCGCTTTTGCAGAGTGGCGTCACGTCGTCATCTATTTGTGAGCCGTTGTTTGCTGCACGACTTTGGGGTCATTGCTACAAAGCCCCTTCAGTATCAACAGCACCTTTTCGAGAAGGGCGTGCGACATGCAATGCTTGAGTCTTATAGTGTCTTGAGTCCCTTGCCTCGCCAAGGCTTCAAGCCGCTGCTCGCGGCAAAGATAGTCGAAGTACGCGATACGTCTGAGGCTCGATTGAGCGCCGTGGCCCTCGGGCCCGTTTGAGCTTGCGCAGTCTCAGGGTTTCGGGTCAACCCTGAGTCCCCAAGTTCTCCGAGGTATGGGAAGATGTCGGCGAAAGCGCGCGGAGTCCGCTGCTCAAAAGAGCGAGAAAGAGAGGACCAGAGAGATAGACAGAGAGCAGTGTCCTGTGAAGTGTCGTGTTGTTACTCCGAAAAAACCCTAAGCCCTAAACCCTAAAACTGCAACCACCGCCACCACCACTTCAACCACCACCACTGAGCCCCCAGACGAATCCGGAGGTCCGCATCCACAACGGGCCGCTGGAACTGCGAAAGGCGCTGCCCTCCAGGGACACCACAGAGTGGGTTGGAGCCCCAGAGGATGGGTTGGAGCCTAGTTAGTATTGTTAGTTGTGTCACTTGTAGTTAGGACTTGGTAAACAGAAGACCCCAAGCAGCTCAGCAACGGAAAGCAGGAAGCATGATGCGAACATCAGAACTTGACAAGCTTGATCAAGCGGTCCAAACGGACAGAAAAGAAGAGCATCCATCAGTGCTACAAGCGAGTGAAGGATGCTGTCCATACAAAGACAAAGTTCTAGCCCAACACTGCGACATCTTTTCTTTGTACTGGTTGGACTCTCTACGTGCGCTTGAGGTATTCAGCATTGAAGCTGCTGTAGCTGTAGCTTCCAGGACTATTGGCACCGTCGCAGTGCTTACTTTTGTGCTCGTTTCAATGCTGCAGGTTCTGTGGTTTATGCTGCATGATTGCCAAGATTCTACCAGTCATTGCCGTTGCTGCTGCAGCAACCATCGTCGTTCGTTGCGGCTGTTGCCTATGTTGCTCAGAGCTGATTCTCGTCTCCTATCTTCAGCAGTATCTTCGATGACCTGCTTCTCGTTGTTTGGGCCCTAGGTAGGTTCACCTCCTTGAGTCCAGTGCCTGCACTCCGATCGGGATGGACGGCATGTTCAAGGGTTCCTTTTGATCTTCAGCCGCAGGTGCATCGCAAGTATTCCGAATCTTGATGCTGTTAGCTTTACATAGATTTACGGCGGAGGCACCTCAAGAGGCCCGCCTCGGACCTTGCGAGGTCCGGAGCGCCAAACAGCCCTATTCGACACTGGAGTTGGGGCCCCAGAGCTATGCCCAGGGCTTTTCGGACTTGCGGCCATATATGGATCCAGACGAAAATGAGCTCAAGTTCCCAGAAGCCGCGCCACATCCATCTATCTACACGATTCGTGGAAAAACGGTGCTGCCGAGTCAACATCCGGCGAGATAAGACTCCACAATTTCAAGCTGTTGGTGGCGCCAGCTGGTGTAGGTTCTTGTGTTTCAAGAGCAGGTTTATCTTGATTTGCGAAGTCTCGCATGCTCGACGTCCCAATTTCTTGATACCCCTTAGTCCTGAACCATTCAACCTGACTCCTTTACTTGCATCCATGACTCACCAACAAAACCTCGACCCGCCTAAACCAAGCCCGAAACCCGAACACTCCAAAAATGGGGAATATACCTTTAAATCTAGGTTTAAATACCGTGGCCAAATAAAACGGCTCAAGGTTGGTAGATGCTCACCCTAAATCCCAAACCAAACCCCAAAGCGCAAGTGTCGGGCTTCGCGTTTAGGGGCCCTTGTGGCCCACCCTTGAACCCTAGAACCAAAACCTTACTATCTAAGACGAAAAGGATAACTATTGCTATTATTGCCCCCACTATTCCTATTTCTGATACGAAATACCACTACTGCTAGTACTGTGAACTAATTGCCAGATACGTACTTAAGGTTTAGGGTTTTTGGCACCCAATCACCTGGGGTCCCGGCCACTGGAGTAGCCTTTGAGCTTGAGGGCCCTGGAGCCAACTCCGAAGCCTCCGGCCTCTTCCGGGCCGCCTCCGCGACCTGGCTGCAGGGGAGGTCTGGGCTTCGCTCTCTCTCTCTCTCTCTCTCTCTCTCTCTCTCCCTCCCTCGCTCTCTCTCTCTCTCTCTCTCTCTCTCTCTCTCTCTCTCTCTCTCTCTCTCTCTCTCTCTCTCTCTCTCTCTCTCTCCCTCGCTCTCTCTCTCTCTCTGTCTCTCTCTCTCTCTCTCTCTCTCTCTCTCTCTCTCTCTCTCACTCTCTCTCACTCTCCCTCACTCTCCCTCACCCTCCCTCACTCTCCCTCTCTCTCTCTCTCTCTCTCTCTCTCTCTCTCTCTCTCTCTCTCTGTGTTATATGTAATATAATCTAGCATAACATAACATAATGTAACAAGAGAGTAGAATGTGTGCGTGTATACTTAAATAT